CTCTCATTTCTATCTCCATTTTGTTCATCAAATACAATTGCCTTAAAGGTGTCACGAGGATGTGAAACAAAACAATGACCAAATTACATTTTATCATCGATTCGTTGGAAGAAGAAAAACTCATTCGATAGTGTTATTAAATCAGACAAAATATAACGCCTTCGAAATTCTATTGGAGAGGAAACTGCTTCGTATTTCTATCTGAATCTATGCCGCTGAATTTGTAAATATTATCTCGTTTGTTCATTGCGCGTCACGCGAAACGTTTCTGTAAGAAACCGAAAAGAATGGAAAAACCGAATTGATACCGTTCCATGCTCCTTTGTCCTCGGCGACATGTTTATCGCGAATCTCTCATTAACTTTCCTGTAATGTTAAATCTTCAGTTTTCTTGCCGGATTGTCGTTCTTTCGACGGAATGGAATAATAGAAACGATTGATCAACGATTGTCATCGATCATCTTCGCGCAGCGTGCCTGACGGTGTGGGTGAACCTTAATACTGTTAATAGATATACGTATCTAATGTTATTAATTATTAACAATCTGATTTGTAATTATAACTTGGCCACGGAATTCTCGAAGCTCGCCGCGTACCAGTCGTGCCCGGCGAAGCCCTTTTTACAGCCTTACGTGAATATCTTTTTTACAATCGCGAGCAAACGAAGCCTTTTAAGACGCGATCGAGACGCGATTTCTTCGCGAGACTATTCGAATCGTCGCCACGACTTGCGCGGTCTGCGAGCCTCAAGCGTTACGTGTCCGAACGGACCCTACTAATAAACGCCATAGTGGTCTGAGAAGTAATTGGCTCGAATAAATTAAATTTACTTTAACAATCTCAGTTGTTAAAGTTTACTCGAACAGTCTGAGATGTTGTTCCCGATCTCCTTCCTAACCGATAGTCTTGCGAATCTCTATTCGAATTTAGAATCCTCTATCGCGAACAGAGGAATTAACCCTTTGCACTCGAGAAGTGACTTGACTTAATTTCATACAGTGAAACTATAAAATTTAATATTTAACACATTGAACGCCGGCTAAATTTCAGCTACTAGAAACGGGAGTGTCGGTGATTGTATTAATATATTTTTAAACATCAATCAAACCGAAATTTGTAACTTGCGGAAAAGAATAAGGAATTCGATTTTGTCATTCTAGTTTGGATTTGTTTTATACATATCTAAAATGTCACATTATTAACGACTAGCAATAATGCGTTAATATTATACTTTGTATGTTGCAGTGTTTCCTAACGTGGCCGTCGCCCCATATATTTCACAATATTTACACACGTAGACAAAATAGCAAAAATATTATAAAAATATTATAAAATAATACTAAAAGTTACATATATGTTACATAGAGGTACATAAGAATTTTAGAAAGGCTTGAGTAGAACATGCCACAAAAAGGTTGGGAAACACTGGTATAATGCTTCAATTTGATAAATATTGAAATAAAATATGTGTGATTACTCGTTGAGTTAGTTTCACAAAATATCGTCTTTATCTCATCAGAAAATGTTAAAATATTTCTAGTGAAGAATTTCCAAGTGCAGAGTTAACATTTTTTGACGAGGCGAAAACGATATTCTTTGAAACTAACTCGAAGGGAAATCACAAATACATTGAGGAACAAAGCTATTTTATTTCAATATTTCACGTATCGAGACATTATACAAAGTTCAATATTAAATATCAGATTTTATAGTTTTACTCAAATCATGTGGTGATTGAGAGTCACCTCTCGAGTGCAAAGGGTTAATCATTTGAGGTATCACTTGTTTCTTTATTGAAGTTAATTTTTAAATAGGTGACGAGCAAATCGATTTAGAAATGAAAATTCTGCAAGAAACTGAAATAATTTGATTATAAATATTCATTGAAAGCTCGCGCGATTTCTTTGTTATATTTTTACATTGAAGTATTCGAATGTCAAAATAGAATTTATGGAAAGTATTTCTTGAAATAGAAACTTGTTCTCTTTAAAAAAGCTTCTGTTCTTTTATTATATAAGTCTAGTTTCGTATTGCCATCTGGTGGTCGTTGCGTAAAACTAATACAAACTTAACATTCATGTGATAATGGTGTTGATAAAAAAGGACATGTAATAATTAATGAAGGAGTATATCGAATATACTTCTGATTACAATTTCATTGTAAAAATTGACATTTCAAAATTTATTATTTTGAATTGCGATGTACATTTTGTTCGGAGAATGTTATTATTTTTCTGTAGGATGTGCTACATGTCGAACCCAAAGAAACGTTGCGTGTACGTAATTCGTAAACAGCGATTTTATTAAATATTCCGTAAGTATATAAAACACTTACATAGTGTAATTTCTGTGAAAAAGCGAAGTATGCACATAAATAATTTACATAACAAAAACAGTATTTAACTTTAAAAAAATGGTGTTTTCAAACACAGAATTTCATGTCTCTCGTTTAAGTGTCTTTCTTGTATAAGTCTATTAATTTTCCCAATTTTTTATGCGTAATTCAGGCTCGAGAATACTCCAATTCGGTGAATGCTTTTCATTAGATAACCAATTAAAGTCGTCGATACAATTCCAATTATTCATTTTCGGGTCGAGACCCGCTAGATTAAAATGATTCGTTTGATCCTCGTAGGACCAATTATAAGGTGCTACTCGTATATTTGTACAATCCTCTATAATCGATCTACTCGTAACATGCAAATAAATAGTACAATCTGTCGAAGAGTGTAATCGTAGTTGTTGACACGCAAAAGCGAATACACATTCACTACAATCGTGGGCGAATACAGACGATGGTACTGGCCCAACTAATACGGTACATTGTTTTAAATTTACCATATGCAAAGTACTAGGTGTGCCATAGATTCGTACCGTACAACGAACTAGGTCAGAAAGAAGTATATCATTTTTATTCACATTCTCAGCATCCAGAACTATTTGTTCGTCAACTTTTCCCAATAACATACACGCACTATCGCCATACTTGCTTGATAATTTGTGATTTTGCTTTGAAGAACCATTCACAATTCCTTCAGAGATTTTTAAATCCTTTAAACCATCTGTCATATCATGTGTCTTATCAGAGGTCTTCTTTATAACCCGCCTATTCTTGAAACCAAATTTCTTTTTAGGTAGCAACTTCAGTTCCAAGTCAGAGGCTTCGCTTTCTAATAATTGTAAATTCTCTTGTGCTCTTCTAATATCGTACACTTTTAAAAACATTTTTGATTGTGTTAAATAGTTTTTTAGTGTCTGAATTTCTTTGTTCACTTTATCAAATATTCCAGGAAGAGCTGCTGTGGGAGCACTGGATGCATCATCTAACATCTCTTTGATTTTCTTGCATGACGAATAAAAAGTGTCTTTAAAATAACTACTTTGTTCTGATTCAACAGCTAAAGATTGCCGTTCCTCTCTCCGCCTTTCGATGATACTTTTCCTTTCTCTATCCCTTTTGGTAATACGATCTGGTAAACTTCCTTCTATGAGGCCAGGAGTATCCATGTCGTTGTCTGAATGCTATTTTGCAATGGAAATTGTTTTGTTTATATTGCTTAAGTTGAAACACTGGTTATTTTCCAACAACATAGATTTACGTTCAAATATAATCTGTTTTAACACATTATAGAGCTGACCTTTTATACTTGCAGATTTTGAGTGCAAAAACTAAAAAAATATAAGAACATACATCAGCAAGACCATCGTGGTACAATACAAGTATAGAGACCGCTTTAAATATGTGCAATATAAGTAATATCTATGTGAAAGTACATACCTGTTGTATATGTTCTTCACTGGAACAACGAACTTTTAAAAAACAATATTTTAAATCACCAGTTATTATTAAAAAAGCTGAATGTTTCATGAACTCCATGAAGATCTAATGCTCATTTTTTTGTTGTTCCCATACAGAGATATCATTTGATCTTAACGTATAGTCCCCAGACAATTTTTCACAAGTTTTATAATATATTTCTAATATAAATGGAAAGTTCTGGTGCATATAATACCTGCAATCTAATAATGGTGTCTATAAACGTCAGAATGTACTAGAAAAGAGTTACAAAAATCTTATTTAACATAAGTGATATGAACTTCTGACAGTTCAAATACAACCACAATAAATATGGAAAAATTCAAATTATACTTATTCATTGTATTCTCATGTTTTCCATCAGACTAATTAATGCTTACGATTATATAGTATCGTTGACGTATAAGTAATGATATTAGCACGAGCCGCGGGGTACAAATAACCTAAAAACATAAAGGAATCGCCAAAGATGATATGCGACTTACTTTGAGACCTATTCATACAGCGCCAGGCTGAATACGATGCACCCAGCAATAAGAATTCTAAGAAGAGAATTCTCCACAGGCTACGTGTGACAACTTGTTTAGATTTTGGGTACTTGTAAAGCATACTACTTAATAACAAGATTTCCTAAAATGGAAATCATCAATACCGTAAAGAATGATGTGCCTCTCGAGACATCGAGATCAAGTGCGATGGGTAGGGATAGTGCAATCTTACCCGGCTCAATCACGCTATGTAAAATTCTCGAAAGAACACTAGACCGTTCGATATAATCGGCGGGAAATTTAAAAGTTCAAATAAAAAGTAATGTCGCAACGTTTTCGCGTCTTTTTTAAGTTATTTGTAACTTTTTCAGAATATTTAATTTAAGGTAGAAATTCATACACTACTAACAAAATGAACATTTAAAAAATTTGAACGCAATTTTGACTTATTTTTTATTAAGTCAGTATGTACTTAAAAATTTTTTGTTGGTAGTGCGTACTTAAAAAAAATGATGAAAAATGAGCATCAGCAGCATATAAAATGAATAATTTGCTAAACACCGTTCAACCTTTCTTTCAATTTATTGTAATAAAATGTTAATATATACAATATTTTAGAGTTCATGATTATGTAACATGTAATTTAATATTTATCTTGCTTAACAGGGGAACATTAATAGTTTTGAAAGTTAATTATACAGAAATATTGTAGCACAAGGAAATTTTTATAGTGTTTTGCTTTGTATGTCTAACACATAATACTAATTTAATAGTGTATACATTTTGAAAAAAGTGCACGCCTTTGCACCTATGGAAACAGTCTATATTAAAGATTGTAGAAGAATATATATTATACAGTCCTTTATACACAAGTAAGCACAGATAAAATATACAGGTAGACAACACGTGTCCAAAGCAATATTAATTAAGACTGTATCTGCAAGTATCATTTCATTACATTACATAGCAATAAAAAAATAACCATTAAGATGATCTATCCAGTGATTTGTACAAGAAATGACTGTATGTTTCTATTTAATATATAAGTGTTCAAAGTGATGTATGAATTTTGTATAAAAAATTTGTTAATTTTAATATGATTTAATTTTCAATTAGCATTACATCAATCTACCATTAAATTTATTACAATACTTTAATCTGCAATAATACAAGCGGTGCCTTACTCAAATAACTTGTTAAATAATGTAGGCTATATTTTAAAAAGTTACGAAATATATTCTCATTTATGAAAAATAGGAAATGTTCATTGTTACATGTACTATACATAAACATAACTACTTATTTACGCATTTGGCTGACTCCTTATAATTTACTTTAAATATTTTCGATAAATTATAAGTAACATAAGCGAGTAGCTCATGCATTATTGGTCTTAAAATGATACCACTAGTATCTAAATGTTACACAATTTTAATATGAAATACCTAAAATAGATATTTTAAGAACAAACACACATTACTATCATAACAAACGGCAGTTCTTTTCATAAAACCATATATTTATCATTTTATGTACATATGAAATAATAATATAAAACCTAACAAATTAAGAAAGTAATATAGAATAATAATAATAGTAATAATAATAATATACATAAAAATTCTTAATCAAATTTCATTATATTCATTTTTTCCTGATACGACAGAATTATTTTATAATCTAATAATTGGATCACTTTCTCTAATAGACGTTTCAATTGCACTGTAAAAACCCAAAAATGTTACATTACGATATATCATTCTTTTACGCCTAGGTATTATTACTGTTCGTTATATCTCTCAAAACATTGATACATCTGGTCCAAAATTATTTAAAAGTCGTGTATTATTATGAATTAACATAATATAATACTGTTTAAGAAGTAGTTATTTCGTCTGAATTCTTTATTTTTTACTTTTTTTTCGTTATGAATTAAATATAAAATTACTTTCCTTTAATTTGCAGATTTATATGTAAACATTTTCGCCCCTTATTTACATAAAATAATTTAAATGATTAGTATTTTATGCAAATTTCTATATTTACTTTGTCAAACATGGCATACTTTGTATCTCGAGTTATTGTGTTATATTAGTCTTGTAAAAAAGAAGACTTTTAAGAATTTTTCTTATTGCTTTTTTATGTCTCACAAAGAAATACAAAAGTACTTAATTACAAAGAGACAATTAATATTTATATTGTCAATATATGAACGACTGAAACGAAAAATGTCACTAAAAAGTTGATGACGGTGATAATAATGAGAATGAGAATGATAATGATGACAATGACGATGCCGATGATGACGACGACGAAAACGACGACGAAGACGAAGACGAAGACGAAGACGAAGACGACGACGACGACGAAGATGATGATGATGACGATGACGATGACGATGACGATGACGATGACGATGACGATGATACTGATGATGATGATAATGATAATGATGATGACAATGATGATGATGATACACATTGAACTTGAATGCCATTTAAGTGTATTTTGCGTCAAGTTACAGATTGAATGTGACTTTAAATTATGGGAAAATGCTGGAAACTTTTAGATTATAAAGTGCTAAGGCACCAGAGATAAATGCAAATGATAATAGTGATTGACATTATATTCTCTCACTATAACTTCAGGGGCATAAACTACAGACATTTTCTTTTTATGTAAATGTATTTATAGTATTGTTTGTTTTGAAAGTATTTGTACACACATACCCTACAACTTCTGATATATTGTGAGACTTCTAGTTTCGTTTTTAACTGTTCATTATCAGGCTTAAAAAATGTAATATTTCGTTATTCTTATTCCATTATTGATGATCATATTTTGACATGTCATGTTTTTCAATAACAAAACATCCAATATATTACTTCATTATATATATATTCACGTGTCAATCCTTTTTTTTTGTAATTATAGTTTAGCAATGCATTTAGTAAAACTGGAGTACTACCGATTGTAATGATTTGATATGATCAGAACAGAAGTATAATGTACACATCACATACATATATATGTAATAAGTACAGCAAAAAAGGATGCTGTAATTTCATATATGTTTACATTGTGAACTACTCACAAAGTTATATGCCTGTTTTTGATTTCTGATTTCTAAACATTAGTACATTATGAATGACAATTTCTACCACTTGGTAGTGATGGGACTCGATATCATTAGTAATAAAAAATGCTGTATATTTACGATATTTGATTTGTACCAAGTAACCAATGCTGTAAAATAAATATTCAAAATCTATATAGTCTGTAGACTCTATTTTAAAGTATTCACAAGCCGGCAATTTTAAGGCAAATGTAATATTCATAAATTTTTTACACCAAGTGCGTATGTCTCAATATGAAATCACAGTATTTAATAAAGGTACTAATTTTAGTATTGATGCTTAACTTATAAAGTGAGTTTAATCCTTTCTACAATGAAATTGTTAAGCATTCCAATTTTCTGATGAGGTTTTTAATTAAATTGTACATCTCACAAAGCACTTTATACATTTGCAAAGTTCACAATTTACCTCGGTTGTCTCTCATTGCAAATTATTCTACTGAAACTAAATTTTCTTTCATACAATATTTATAGTATTTCTAGACTTTTTACCGTATCTCAAGACATCGGCATGTAAATTGAAACACACAGTATCATTGTATGATGGCAGTTTATATCTGTGATGAAAAATGAGGATAATATCACCTTTATTAACGATTAAAAAAATTAATTAGAAATTCATCAAGCGTGAAACTGTTATTTACAATATTTTATTTTTGGAAAGGTTAAATTTGACATCATTTTTGTCAAAACAAGTATTCTATTATAATTTCGCAAAACCACAAATTTTTGCCTTTCATAATGTTCTTATTAATGCACATTAATTTGTTTCTTTACATTAATGCTAAGACGGAATTTGTTGAAATTCTATTCTGCCATAACCTATTCTAGTAGACATTATTATGCTGCTCTTTATTTTCAATCGTTAGCTTTCATCAGTAAATTATTCAAGTTCAATTTTAACAGGCAAACGGATTGTACGGGTTCATATAAAATCCGTTAATAAAAAAGAAAGAGATTTTCAAGTAACGTCCGATCGATAGTTTTTTTAATTGGTTAGCAGATAATGCTAACGCAATCCTCATTTACTCTTGTGTAGTCATTTACCCAGACTTACAGTAATGAGGCATAAAGAGATAGCTGCTGGGGGCACGAAAGAGTCAATGTGACGATCAATATGACAGTCTGTTGAACACCATGAAAACATTGGAAACATGCTGCATTGTAGTTCGCTACGATACCATTTCATGCCATCCACTATCATTTGAGGAGTTGCTCTCCAATGGTACTAAAAGTTTTAAAAACATTATAACTAAACTTATACTCTTCTGACCATGTACCTATTTTCTCAGAAAGTATTTATATTCAAAAATGCTTATTTAATAAATGGATATCGTAATATTTGGAATTATATCATAATGAAAAATTAATCATAATAAACTCACCAGTCTTGTCACTTTCAGTTTTTTCTGGAGTTGAAGAGCTAGGGCCCCATATTCTCACAGTACAATCATCTGACACAGAAGCCATCATTTGATGATATACTGGATTCCAAGAAACACAATTTACTGTCCTACTATGCCCTGTTAATGTTGCTATTGGTAATTCCCTCTTGATATTCCATACATACACTTTAGAGTCTAAAATAAAAATGAAAAATACGATACGTTTCTTGCAATTAAATTAAATATGGCTTGATTTATTTAAAGTAAAATACCATACCTTCACTACCAGACGCAATGAAATCTTGATTTACACCACCAAAACAACTATGAATAGTAAAATGTCCTTGAGTGACACCTTGAAAACGTCTTACTAGGCATCTATCTTGTAGATCCCACAGATGTACACCTTGATTGGCCACATTTAAAAGTGCAAATCGATCTGATTTATTTACACTAAATGACATTACAGGATGGTCTTCTTGTAATCTATAAGATTAAATTAATATTTTCATGAATACTATATTAATACATTAATATATTTGCAACAAACGGTATTTGCAATCTTACATTGGGAAATCGCATAATTCGTCAAAGTTATATCCTCTAATTCGATGGCGTGAATCAGCAGCTAAAACAGTTTTCCCATCGCTTTTGCACCACAAGCATTTTACTCTAACTCCTTCCCATGATTCTGACACGTTTCCTTCTAAGTCCTACAATATTATT